AGAGCATGAAGTAGAGTCTGGGGTTTTTTTCCCCCCCAGGTGCCTGTCAGGGCCTGGGTTTCAGCTGTCCACACCACAGCAGTGGGCAACGAGCTTAAAGCCCCTGATGGCTCTGGGCGCTGACTCTCACCAGTGGCTATGGATGAAGTCACAGGCGATTTTCAGCCAGTGCCGGGAAGCTTGTATTTTGAGGCAGAATCTAATCCTAAATAAGAAGGAGTCAAAGCCACATTATGACAATTGGCCAAGAAGAAAGCATACATGAAGAAAAGAATGGGACTCAAAAGGATGGTACCTTATTCTAAAAAAGAATATTTTACAGTAATTTTAATGTGGACAAATAAACACACTTATTGTGTGATACAGCATTTCAAGTGTGATACAGCATTTCAATCTATTGAATTGGGTATCTGTGGGTATGTGAGAGGTAGATGTGTGTCAAGGAAAAAAAAACCTGAGATATATATTGTTACTGCACAGATGTGTGACCTTGGATTACAGAATTTTCTTTTCCTTCTTGTAGTTTTTGTACTCTATGGCTCTTCAATAAAGAAAACAAGGAAGAGGAGAATAAGACATGCAGAGAGAGACGCCCCTGAGGGGAGATTATACTTAGGGTTTTGGCAGAAGAGAAGCCAATGATGACCGTGAAAGCGTGTCAAAAAGGAGTAAGGAGCCTGAAAATATTTGGTAAACATAAATGTGATATCTCCGAGATCGTTCGGTACAGCAAGCCAATGTCAATGACGAACACAGGAGGACTTCTTTCAGAAGATCAATGACTACCACCCTCAATATGGATCACAATTCAACACCAAGAAGACAAAAGTCCTCACCACTGGTTCAATAGGCAACATCTTCAAAGGTGGAGAAAAAGATTGAAATTGTCAACTATTTCATCTTGATTGGATTTATGATTGACACTCCTGATAGTAGCAGCCAAGAAATCAAAATACATGTTGCACTGCATAAAAAACTGCTGACTGTCAAGAACCCCTCCAAAGTGCTAGAGAGCAAGGATGTCAGCTAAAGGACTAAGGTGTGCCTGATCCACATCTGCTAGAAGGTGGACCAGGCGGCCAGGATGGATCTGCCCACCCACACAGAGGATGTGCACTCAGGGGGAGCAACAATCTTCATACTCGTTGTGCTGGGGGCCAGCGCTGTGATCTCCTTCTGCATCCCGTCAGCCATGCTGGGGCCCATGGTGGTCTCGCCGGACAGCGCTGTGTTGGTGTAGAGGTCACTGCGGATGTCAACATCACACTTCATGATGGAGGTAAAGGTAGTCCCGTGGATGCCACAAGACTCCAAGCCCAGGAAGGAGGGCTGGAAAAGTGCTTCGGGGCAGTAGAAACAGTCATTGCTGATGGTGATGACCTGTCCGTCAGACAGCTGGTAGTTCTTCTCCAAGGAGGATGGAGAGACCTCCTGGCCATCTCTTGTTCGAACTCCAGGGCAACATAACAGAGTTTCTCCTTGATGTCATGCACAATTTCCCGCTCGGCCGTGGTGGTGAAGCTGTAGCCTCGCTCGATGAAAGTCTCCATGAAATAGTCCGTCAGGTCTCTGCCAGCCAGGTTCAGATGCAGGACGGCTTGAAGGAGGGTGTACCACTCATAGGCGGTCACAGTGTGTGTGTGTGACCTCATTGGTAGAATCCATCA